GAGAGCAGACCAAGGCAAACACACCACACACACACTCACACTCCTCATCGTCCCTGAACTGTGTCTTCATCTCCGCATCTCCATCTGCGTCCATTCACATCCACCGCTCCTGCCACGAGTCCGCCATGACTCACTTCACAGGTGAGAGCAGCGACGGCACCGCTGCTCGTCGAAAGGCCCCCGACTGGCCCAAGATTTGCGACTACCGGTGGGCCGCAGATGATTCCTTAGAGCTGCAGGTGCTCTGGCCGATCCTGGACAAGCACACCTGGGTTGGCGAAACCGTCCTGCACCGTAGATTCAAGGAGCTGCTCCTCGACTTCTGGCGCGACGTCGGCGGTCGCCCCGAGAACCCTTTCGACCCCGAGGTCTACCAGGTCTACGCCGTCAGAGGCCATGCGCGGGATAAGCTGAGCCGCCGCAAGATGCTGCAGATCGAGTGGACGGGCTACGAGACGCTCACCTGGGAGGACCATCGCACCATGCGCCGCGACGTGCCCGACCTCGTCGACGAGTACTTCCAGCAGCTCGACGAGGCCTCGTCTTCGTCTTCGTCGTCGTCGGCGGCGTCGGCATCAGCTGCCAAATGGCCCATTCTGAAGTAGCAAGAATAGGCGCCGCCGTTATCACATCTACCACCAACATATTTACTACTGCCGCCACTACCACCACACATCTACTCATCACCAACAAACCTACAACTATCACATCACACTGCAACGACGACACATGAACCAACACACACCAGAGGAGGCTGAGCACCAAAGCAATCGGGAATTGCGGACGTTCCACCAACTACTAAGTACTTACCAGGGGGGAAGACCGGGGGGGGGACGAGGCTGGCTATGCAATGCTTATGCTTATGCTTAATGCTCGCTCACTCGCCTTTGAAAGGCAGAACACGGCGAGGAAAAAGGCATGCAACCGGCAACTTAAAAAAAGACAGCGACAGGCGCGCGCGCATCGGCGGCAGCAGGGGCGATTGATTTGATTGACCTGGGCTTGATTTGGTTTGTGCGACGGGGTGTGACGTGACGTGATCATGCCACTCACACCGTTACTGTCACAGCCACAATCAGCCCGTCATTCATTCGCACACACGTCCCGGGAAAGCCAATTTTCTTTCTTCTTCTTTTCATTTTCGTTTCTTTTTGGTCTTTTTGGCTTTTTCCCACTTAGCAAATCAATGTAATACTCACTTTTTAAAACGGGGGGACGATGGCTTTAGCAACTCGAGAATGTAGCTACGGGAACAAATGGGATTTTCGATTTTATTTTCACTTATTTTCTTCTTCACAGCCTCGCCTTTTTTCATGCCCGAGTGAACTATAAAAATACGAGCCGGATGAGTATGATGTGGCAAACCTTAACTGACTCGACTCACCCGCCGAGCCGCTTGGCAGGACCCCTTTCACAACCAGCGTTTCATACTAGTCGGATCAAGTCAAGTATCGGAACTGAACGTGATAATCTCCCTCGTCGGTGACATCGACCTCAGCATCCGGATCAACCGGCCCGTACAGCTCGTCCCTCCGCCTATTCTCCCTATCCAGCAGAAAATGGAGCGCCAGCGAGAGCAGCACAATTAGCCCCGTGAACGCGCAGCCTATCGCGCAGCCTTTCGTGTAGAACGGCCTATTCGTCGAAACTATCGTCAGCTCTCACCACACTCACTCCTCATCTTCTCAGCCTGGCCAACAACAGACAGCACTCACCCGTCTTCCAAAGGAAACACCACGCTGCTGATGAGCGAGGAGCACTGTCCCACGATCAGCGCCACCCCCAGGCCCGCCCCCTTCTTCGAGTCCCCGCCCTGGTTGTTGAGCAGCCAGGTGATGTTGATGGACAGGGCCGGGAACACGCCGCACGCCGCCAGCCAGGCGCCGAGGTACCTCGCCCCGTTGAGCCTCGCGTCCCTCACCCCCGCCAGCAGACCGTACCCTACCGCCCCGACCGCCGCGAAGCCCGCGACCACGTAGCCCCTGTGCCCGTGCCGGTCCGACACGCGGGCGGCCAGCAGGCACATGAGGAAGGCGGCGAGGTAGGCGGGCGCGGTGAGGCCCTGCGCGTCGACGGAGCTGTAGCCCATGCCCTCCACGATGGACGGGAGGAAGTTGGACAGCGCCGCGAAGGAGAAGTTGCAGCAGAAGTGGACGAGCGCGTGCGTGTAGACCTTGTAGTCGGCCAGGCCGGCGAGGACCTGCTCCCACTGCACGCCTCGCTTGGCGGGCGTGGCGTCTCTGAGGTGCAGCCTCTCCTCGGCGTGCTGGCGCTCCTCCTCGGTCAGGAACCTGGCGGTCCCCGGAGAGTCGATCAGGAGGAAGTAGACGACCGGGGCGAAGAGGATGGTTGGGGCACCCTCTGTTTTTCTTACGTTAGCATAACTTATATATCCTAGTTGTTGGTTCTTCTTCTGTCTACTATAGGCCTATCACTAGATATAAAGAAGAGAAAAAAAGTATCAAAACACCTACCTATGATGAAGAGCAGCCGCCACGGCTCCAGAGAACCTTTGATATGCGTGATGCCGTACGCCAGGCTCGAGGCAAACGTGTTCGCCAGAGGCGACATCCCGAGCAGGAAGGACATGCGCAGGCCGAGCTCCCGCCGCTTATACAGCAGCGACAGGAAGTACGGCGCGCCGACCCCGAACGCGGCCTCGAACATGCCGAGGAGGCAGCGGGTGACGATGAGTTGGGTCAGGTTGCGCGCGGCTCCTGAGCTCATTGCCGATGCGCCCCATCTGCCGTTCAAGGAGTCAGACAGAAACAAGGGTGGAGTTTTGGTTTCGAAACATGCAAAAATCAAACATGCAAAAATCACAGTTCGAATTTACATGATGTATCTGGTTACGAGAAAAAGGGACTTACAGGAGACACAGGACGGAGACGTATACGTGGGCGGGGAAGATCTTCCACAGCATGGTCGACCACTCGAAGAGGATGTACGTCAGGTAGAACGAGTTGAGGACCCAGGACCACTCGTACGACGTCAGTCCCAGGTCGCGCTGGGCGCCGGCCGTCTTCGCATTGCCGATGTTGCCCCTGTCGACGTAGGAGAGCACGTAGAGGCAGCAAATGATGGGCAGCGTGCGAAGGTCAAACTGCAGATGATGAAACGGACCCCCGGTCCCTGATCAGCGACGGGGGAAGGCATGCACGGGCGTGAATCGCGGGCAGAGAGAGAGGCACAGGCTCGGGGGAAAGAAAGGAACTATTGGAATAACATACAGCTCTGCGGACACGATGGTCCAGGTCCTTTGTGGCATCGCGGCGATGCGCCTCGCCCGAGCCCAACGCGGCCTCGTCCTCATTGGTCTGACGGCGGCTGGTGGTGGTCCAGCGCATCGTGTGGGTGGAGGAGGAGCTCGATCAATCAGAATTGCAGGCAGCCAGGTAAATCCCCCGAGGACAGGACAAGGGACGCAATGGGCATGGGCAGAGGATGTGCAAAGGGTCCTCGTTGGGCTGGACTGCCGGTCCGGGTTACGACACCAGAAGTTGCCTTGCCCTCGGGCACGTAAGGCGATCTGCACGTTTCCTGGTCGCGTGTGTGTCACGGAAAGAAGACGAAGGTGGGAGTCATCGATAGGAAGAAGGGGGGGGGTGGTGGCAGGGGAGGACAAGGGGGGCGGAGGCTTTGACATTCACACACGGTAGAGCAAGACAGGAAAGACAACGAGATTCGATTAGGCAAAACATGCAGGCAGCGGACTGGCCTTTTCCCGATGATCCTACCAATCAATGGCTGAATGGGTGGGTAAAGTGAACCCTAAGTCACGATTGACACAACTCCCTCACTGACACGTGTTGGGTGGCATGGCAGATCTAGAGTTTTGGTCTCCCTTTTTCTAATTCTATCATAAATCTCGTCATGGATTAGAGTGTTTGGCAAAGGCACTAAATCGAATAGCTGCGGAATTGTGCCGTCCGTGACATGTTCCTTAGAATGGTCGAACGGCGCCTGGGCCAAGGAATGCCATGCATTTGCTCAGCCCCTGCACAGAGCAGCTGGACTCCGCAGACCGACTCGTGCGAGTCCCGAGAGAGAGCCGTTAATGCACAGACTACCGTCCTCGTCCAGCATGTATCGGGTATGAATCCTGCGGTACAGTTGCATCCAGGGCCGAGCACAGAGCAGAAGTTGCCGTGCTCACCGAACGCTGGCGCACCGGATGAGTAATTATTGGCCTGCTTCCAATCTTAGATCGTTCTCCCCCAGGCCCAATACGGGCTCATTCGCTGGGAAAAGAGGGGGCAGGCTCATGGCTGGATGGATGCCTCTCGTTGGTACGACACAGCCAATCAGCTCCATCCTTCTCGCTCGCCCAAGTGGAGGGATGGCGTGGATTTCGTCTCACGGCACCAGCCGAGGGCTGCGTGACAGGGGACCTTGGATTCGTTGTCTCTTCCTGCATTTCTACCTGCCTGGATCGCACCGCATGGCATCGTGATGTGCCCTACCTCGCGCGCGCCGGTTGATAAGTCCCAGCGAGAGCCCCGATTGATCGACTGACTGTATTTGTACCGTCTTGGTTTTGGGGGGAAACCCTGACTGAGGCTTTTTGCCGGCCTGTCCTCCCCCGCATGTTGCTTCTGCCCGTCCATCCAAACTCTGACTGGGGCCGATGCTCATGTGAGCGCGAGAGAGAAATGGCCCCGCCCATCTGGAAGCACCATCGCCGGCGGTGGAAGAGGCTCATGGCCGGATGCATTACCTGGTAGGTCGTCTCGTCGCGATGAGATTTCCGGAGTGTCTCTCTCCCTGTCTCTCCCCCTCTGGCTGGCAGCCTACTGACGTGGGCGTGAAGCAAGTCAGTACACCCGCCCAGGGAACCTTTGTGTGAGATCTAGGCTTACCCGTCGTGCCCCTTCTCAAGAAACCGACGCCGCGCGTGTGATCTACAGAAGCCCCTTTGCCACAATTGCACCGCTGACGAGCTCGAGTGCGAGGGCTATGACGAGGCGGACATCACCACTCCCAGCGACCACCAGCTGCCGATGGAATACCCCGACTTGGGGTTCCGGAGAGACAATGTGCTCATCAACCCGCTGCCGCTCTTGCGACGAGGCACAGGCTCTCTAAACTTTCGACTGAACAGCGGCCCTTCGCTGGTTGTGTTCCCCACCCCGGCCGATGCTTTCCTGCTGCATCACGCCAACCAGTTCCTGTTCAAGGACTCGGTGAGGTTCGATGACCCGGCGGGGTTCTGGTATAAGTTCGCGCTGCCTCTATCTAACTCGGCAGAGCCCATCAAGCAAGCCCTGTGCGCCCTGGGGGGCGCGCATAGATCCTTCGTAGGTCAGCAGGTTGGTGATACAATGAGCTACAGCCGGCTGGCCGTCACCAAGTACAATGACGCAGTCAACCAGATCAAGCAGACGGTGACGACGAACACGGTCGAGCACCTCCAGGTCAGCATGGTCAGCTGCATCATATTCGTCTACATTGAGAGTCTGCACGGCCGAGTCCCGGAGGCGATCAAGCACTTACAGGCGGGCTGCCTGATTCTCTCCGCCCTCCGCAAGTATCACACGAATCAGGGCAGCGTGGCGGCGTTCATCCCAACCATGTCCACCGTGCTGCTGCGAATATGGCAGGATTTTGCTGACTTCCAAGCCTTTGACACATTCTACCTCCCCGACCTGGAGCCTCAGATTGCGGACATCGGAGACCCGACTATCCCGTTCCCAGATGCCATCACGGCAATGGAGATGCTGTTTGCCGTCGACGATGTGCAGAGCTATCTTGCGCTCTCACACCATTCCGAATTACCGAAAGAGGGCGACTCCGATGAGACGGGCGACGACATCAAACCACTATCCCTGAGTCATGACTCTATCCGCTTCGCCTTCCAGTCGAGCAAACCCACCCTCCAAGATTGGATCTCGAGGATGGGCCTGTTCCTAAAACAACACGAGAAGACCGCCTTCCCCAAGGACGAGCAGCACCGCGTCCAGACCCTCTCGCTCTACCACACCCTCTGCACGGGCCTGGCCAAGCTCGACAGCCTCGACGACGAGCTCGCCCCGGAGGACTGCCAGGCCATACTGGAGAAGCTCGCCCTCCTGTTCCAGGCCGACGCGGACGACTCGGGGTCCATCTTCGCGCTCGGCGGGCACCTCATACCCATCATCTCCAGGGTGTTCGGCAATGTGAGCGACGAGGGCGTACTGCGCCGCTGCATCGAGGTGCTCCGGTCCGTGCGCAGGCGCGAGGGCGTCTGGGACAGCCACAGGCTGGCGGACCTGTACGAGGCCGCCATGAACGCGAGGTCGTCCGTGGAGGAGCTCGGCGAGGAGCTGCCGTGGGGGGTGCCGCAGCTGACGGAGAAGCTGGCCACTCTGGGGTTGTTGCCGCACACGTCTTGAAGAACGGGGTTCACGATTATGACACGTCTTGAAGAAACGGGGGTTCACGGTTATGAAAAAAAAAATGGGATGGTGTTTTGGAGCCGGATGTTGTTCATGGGGCGAGTCGGATATTCAAGGTCTTGGTTAACTGCTAGAAATCTCCTTTCGAAACCGTCCAGGCGGGATCTCCCAAAACATCTGTTTGATCTGAGTTGATCTTCTCCAGGCTTCAGTATGCCCGATAGTGGGGGCTAATGCTTAGTATCCGTTCATGTATTCTATTGTCTGGTGAGGCGAGGCTGTGAGTCTCGTTGTTTTTATCATCGTGTATTAGTGGGATCAGACGTGGAAGACTCACGTACAACTGGTCTGGTGAATCACAACTCGTTGAATTTCGAGCGCAAATGCTGTCCTTGAAATAAGAAATCAAAAAGTCAACTTTCGAGCAGCATGTGTCCACCCAGTAATCCTCTGGTGTGGCTGGGCTCATTTTAAGAGCCCATGGAGATGTACGCCCTCATCATCTTCTCATGTTTGGAGTATCAGAAGAAGACTTGGCTGATATCACTAGTATGGCGGTGGATGCTAACTGGAGATGTATGGCCGCGGAGGGGAGCGCAGAATTAGTCTAGGGACCGTCCCAGGGGGAAACTGAATGACCTATGTATTGCCATGATCAAGGGTTGCAGTCTTTAGGCGGAAGTTGTTGACCGGGAGCCATCAAAAGAATGGAGACTGAGATTTCGAATTCCCTATACCACTTGGCGGCGTGGACAGTGGCTTGATACCAGTCTTATACCTCTTTTGATGCCCTTGGGCTCATGTGAAGGGAATCAAAGAAATTGATGGCCACAACTCTCGCTAGGCGCTAATTAAAGAAGGGTTAATCTTGATATAATTACGGATGTTGAGTTGTAATAACTACCTAGGGGTCACGTTTGTGCATAATAGGTAGGTGGTAGAGTCACCATTGACACATCGGAGCACTATTCTGCTACCCTAACTCTGATCATCATATTTAAGCCGCTCGACTCGGCCGCCATGGCGAATTCAGACGGCGATGTAGCCCAAACAATTCGAGAGTGATTGATGGCTTCTGAACGGACTATTTAGTGGAAACCATGCGAAAATTGTGTAATCCTCTTCCTGTCTCAAGATATGTCCCTGAAGCCTGAGAAATGCCTCGGCCCCTTCCCCGTATAGAAAGGGTATGTGGTGTTGAAAAGCCCCAGGAGGCAACATGCCATAACCTCTTCCATTGTTGTTTGCCTTCTGGATGCCTAGGACATCCGCTCTGCCAATGGCATGTCAACGGGCTCGCTCTGTAAAGAACCTTACGAGGAGCACCTGTCCGCGTTGCAATACCGTCGGCCAAACCGTCCTTGGTTTCAATCTCCTCTCATCGATTCGTGTAGAATTCAATGTACCTAGGGGCAATAAATTCTTAAAGTCTCCACCCCTTGTAGACCACCGACTCGACCATATCTGAGCCACCGTCCGCGTCACTTCTTCTTTAGGCGGAATCATACCTTGGCTGACCCCTACATCTGACAAATAGACAAACACACACGAGGTAAAGTGTACCATCTGTACATGGAGTTGATGGCCTTTGAAACCCCGCCGAGTTTAATTTGTCGATGCAGAGCGCATCAATCCACGCAAAGTTAATCTCATGTTTCTTAGCCAAGTCACAGCAACCTGAGGCCTTGTGATATCCTGCATTGCTTTAGGCTTTCTCATTGATTATGTTATGGAACTGGGCTTCTTCTTTTCCCAAATGTGACTCGGAATATAATACTGAGGGGCGGGATCGCTGAGTTCTTCGACCTTCAATGTTTAGACCTTGAGCAATCTCATCTTTGATAGATTGGTTACCTCGCGAGTAAATTTATGGTAAACATGACATTTGAGTTGAGGGGCATGACCCCAAGCGCGTAAGCCCGGGATCAAGCAAGGGGTTAAGCCCTTGTATGCGTGTTTGCTGTATAGCATTGGGCTGTTTAAGGAGCACGCGAATGCAAACCGACAGGGCTGAAGGTGACGCATTGGCAAATCGCGTTTGGCCCGGAGATTGTAGATGCGAGCATAATACCTATTAGCCTTTGATTAATGACTGGTAGTTTTCTCTCATAGTAAGACCCGGGAAGAAAGATCGGAATCGCCTTTTAGGCACCAATCGTCGGTGATACGACTGAAAGTGAGTGTTGTCCGGTAGCTGATGCATTGTCCCAGGAAGCACCGTTGGATTACACGGGAGCGCATTATCGTCTGTCCGACTGTAGTTGAACAAAGCGAATATTGCACTTTTTATGGCTGGAAGAGAGCGGAAACACTATTGGAGCAATTCCGAGATTCAAAATTGTGTCTAACAACCGTGGCAGGACTAAAAATTGAGCCGGGGCCACTTGCAATGCTGGAATGAACTTGTATAAAGAGCTAGATCCTTCGGTCCTTCGGGTAGAAAAGCCACGCACCTGTTCCCACTTACAAAATTCTCTTTGAAATTGCCAGACTTTAGCAGATGAGTATTTCCATGCCCTTGAGCTAATATCTCGTGTGAAGTATTCGATCCAATACAACTGAACCCACGAGGCTGAACTCCCTTTTCCTATGACTTCTGGATTCCGATCTATTTCCTTCCTTTTTGGCGAAAGCGTATTCTCCCTATTGTCCGTGATGTGAGCTGGTGGCTTGGTCTTCCCCAACACAATAGACTTGGCATCGTTGCACAGGCCGCCAGGATTTGTCTAAGGACAGGCTCAACCGATGTGGGACAAATTCCAGGAACTGCTGGGCGAGACCTATTAATATACGTGCTCTTAGGATACGGGCTTGATCGTAATTCATTCGCCGAGAGCTTTTGGGCCAGGCTTGAGCCAGGCGTACTCCGGGAGCATTGTGAAGCTATGAACGACACCCGGAATATATTCACAGCGAGGCGATATTTTGACAAGATAATGAGAACCGGAGATTGAGCATCTGGTTCTCTTACATGAGGTTTTACATGACAAGGTTCTTGTAGGCATGTCACCAGGGATAGAACTTTTGACATTGCATGCGCCAATCACGTACTCATGGAGTAACCACCGCACCGAAGTACCCAAGTTTGATGACCGGACCATGCTTAGCCACCCGGAAATATGAAACTTGACTGCCGAAATAGAATTTTGTAAGGAAGGCTCCGATTACAGTTGAGGAATGCTGAAACTTGGAGCGCTGTGCTCAATTCAAACGGTGGCTGGTGATTTCCCGATAGGCATTCAATCGGGATTGCACGAAGCCTTCAGGAATGCAGGGAGGCTATTTTCTTGGAAAAGAGACCAGCCGTTGCGCTTTCGTAGCTATCAGACCGATGGGTTTACAGGAAAAGCCAGACTCATATTAGGAATTGCTCGTTATGTTCCTTTCGCATGCATGGGGCCAATCCAACCAACTGCCGCTTACTCAATACCGTTATTGTCATCCAAGGCCTCTCTGAAAGGATGAATGATCATGTTCCACGTCTTCGTATGCATAAGCCCGCTCACACCGTGGTAGAGGAAGTGGAGAACGCATCAATAAGTGATGGCACCGTGACCCCCAAAGCAACACAAAGTTGTCATCAACGCAGGTTGTACGGATGCAACGCGGGAGTATACTTGGGCCAGAGCTTTGACCTTGTCTTGTTGGTTGCTTTGATGAGGCCAGTGGAACTCGGAATGATCCTGATTAGGGCGATGTCCGTTCGTTGACTTGCCCTACCTATGTACATGCTAGGCAGATAACGGTCAATGCCGTACGAAAACGTGGCTATCTTGAGACGTAGGGCTAGTCATCTCCCTGGTCCAAAGAGGTCTGCTAGAACAAAACCGTTGAATGGAAAATACCAGCATGAACGCTGTGGTGCCGAACCTTGCTGAACTTCCATCTCCGAGTGGCTGGTCAAACTGGCAGTAGCCCCCTACTTTATTCTTGTCTCAGTCAGCCCAACTGAGCAGTTCTGTTGCGACTTTGGTGAAGGCTGCGCCCCTCATTGTGACACCGTGACTAGTGGCGTATACTACCGTCACTTCGTGATGTGTTCGTTCAATTCCCCTTGGGGAAGAATTCTTACGGAGATTACTCTCCCATCCACAACACTACCATTTTTAGACTCTACTTGGTGTACAGCAGTCCTGCATCGGCCCGTGGGTGTGTAAGTGGTTACAATGCCGTCGATAGCTAAGCATCCTACGAGCAGGGGCAGGTAAGGCCTCATTTTGAGACTGGAGGAATGGTAAGGATTTGGCCCTTAGATCCATGATGGTCTCGGCCTTGGCAAAAGGGAGTTTGTGGCGCTTTATGTCCTTAGGTCATCATCTATTATTTACTCTGTCGTCTGTCATGCGTTTCCCTTGAAGCAATTTGAGCAGCCTGTCCCTTTCATTATCTACCATCCTGTGCTCCATCGGTCATGAGAAGTGAAGCCGCATCTCACTTATTCGGAGATTCTCAGACTGCATCACCATGAGAGGACTATTCATCCTCGCCAGCATGGCCAACCTGCTGACCTTTGCTCACTCTGGTCCCGTCCCAACTAGCACGCAAGACAGCATTATTGCGGTTCCCGACCTTGTTTCGAGAGCCCAGCCCACGTCTCACCGTCTTCTATGGAAAAACACTGCCCCGGGAGTCGAGATCAAGGGCAGCAAAAAGCTTCGTATCCTCACTGTTGGCGATTCCATCACTGCCGGGTTTCCCTGGAACGGAGACGGAAATGGATACCGGGGAAAACTTCGTGAAGACCTATCAAGTAAGAATACTAATTTGACCTGAACCCGTTACTTTGAGCTGTGGAAATGCTAACCATTGGCTTATAGGGAATGATGTCGTGTTTGCGGGCACTATCACCACCGATAAGAGCACCATGAAGGGGAATTACTATGTAATTGATTAATCGTCCGCCTTCTACGAGGAACCATATTTGCTAACGTCAATGCGCAACAGGCTGCATGGCCGGGAAAGACTATCAAGTACATAAATGATCGAGTTGATGCGTC